CTTTCCCTAACTTCCCCTCAGGGTAAAGTACGTTGCTTCAGCAGTCATCACATACCCTGTCCATACTGGGAGTGAAAGACTACAGTAGGGAGTTGGATTTAATTTATTTTCATTAATTGAGCTTATTCACTGTGAGAAAATTGCTCCTTCGGAGTCTTCCAGTAATAAATGAAATGTTTGAACTTTGGCCAGGCAGAAACTAGTTTATTGGAGACCATGTCCTAGAACATAGCAACTTTTTTTTTTTTTGAATGATACAGTAAAGCAATTTTCAGTGTACTTTGAGTACATCAAAGGATTTCCCCCCTGCCCAGCTACATATCAATGGGCTTTTGGTAATCATTTAGTGGAAAACAGCTGAGAGAAGATAGGAATACATGCAAGTGAGGGATTCCATGCCTAAAAATGTAATGAGTTTTTTTTTTTTTACTCTAAATACTTCTTCAAATTTTATTTTAATTGCAGCTGGGAAAGAGATCCTCCTGAGATGTTATGACATTCAAGTAATTTTAAAGCAAAACGTTCAATGTACTTGGAGGTACAAATCTAAAAATACTCGCAGGTACATGAATCTGTCAAAACCACTTACCACCATAGCAGCCCAACACTTGGCAACTAACTTGCTTGGTAATGCCTAGTTTTGTTTAGGGGGGATGTTTTTGCATGTTTTATACATTGTTAGTATCCAAATTGTTCAGGTATCATTGCTAAACCAGAAAAGAAGTACTATTAAATACATAGTTTGGAAGATCTAAACTGGAGTTGGAAAATGTAGTACTGCCTTCTTTTTTGTTGCTTCCTCTAGAAAGGCTAGGCTTTCACTATCCATTTTGTTTCTTCAGAGATTCTGGACTGAGTTCACTCCTTGAAATTCAGGAGTCATTTATCATCCTCTACCTTTGTTTGCCCTAGCCAGATAAAATTTCAAAATAACAGCTGCTGCTTGTCCTTTTTCCTCTCAATCCATGACCCAGTTCCTGAATTCCTCTGGGACTCCTGTGACTGTTAAAAATGTAGGTTATCTCTTGGTTTACTGCCCAGCTAATATGCATTTCCTTGTTGCTGTCTTCAATGGAGGAAGGTATATTTTTGTTAACATTTGTCACTTTCTGGCTATTTCCCATTGTTAATATAGATAGGAAAGAGTTTGGCCAGAACAGCAAGGCACTATGTAAAAGGAATGCAATTGTTCTTTACAATCTGTGTTAAACACATTAATTTATATGATCATTTAAGAGTTAAATAAAGGCAACAATAAGGGAAGCTAAAAAGAAGTAAATGAAATATGAATGGCCGTTTGCATTAAATCAAGATGTTAAACCTGTATAAGTTCCAGTACATCACTTCTCACCCCACGATTCTTGTGTTAGTCAGTTATGAGATACAGATGGCAAAACTGTAAATGGTGATGGAGGAAACAGTAGAAATGTTTAATAAATATTTCTGTATTTGGAATAAAATGAATGTGAGTCCTCTCCATACAAAATGAAGAGAAAACATAAGTTTTATTGATTTAATGAGGGCTATAAGGTTATATTTGCTCAAAGTAAATATTTTTAATGTAGCAAACCAAAATAACTTTCGCACACACCTCCCCAAATTTAAAGAAAATAGCTGAAGAAGCATCTGAAGTATTAATGTTGACTTTAAAAAAAAAAAAAAATCAAAAAATCTAGGAACTTGGAGGTACTTCTAAGTGCAATTCCAGAACTTAAAAGCATAAGTGAATCCACAGAATTGTAGAGTGGTTGAGCTGATATTGATCCAAGCAAAGCAGTGGAACAGAATAAACAAAAAAATGACAGTTTCAAAGAGTTTATGGAAAATGGATCTTGTCAAAAATAAGATTTATTTGACTAGCTTACATGTCTGGCTGATAAAGCCAAGTATATAAAATGCTGAGGTATCTCCAGGGCATTTGGCATAGTAGCACATACCTCTTTAATATTTAAAAAAAAAAAAAAATGCAGAAGGGAAAGGGTACCTATTCAATTAACTTTTAAATTGCTCATTGACATATTTGTAATTCATTTGATAACAGGGAGACATTAATGAGGAGGGACATTTCTGAGTTTATCTCCTAGGGGCTGGTTTTTAGTCTAATGCTATTTAATATTTCTAGCAATGAACTAGGTGATGGTGATAAAATCTTTGCTGGCAGAGCTTTCAGGAGATAAAAAGATAGGTTGGTACAGGTTACAGTTGTGAATTGAATTGCTAATTAAATGGTCATTTATTGCATGCAAGATACATTTTTGAACAAATGCCAGCCTGTACTTAAAAGGTGTAAAGCTCTTCCTTGAAGTTGAGAATCAGTTTAGTATGGCTTAATAGTCACTGTTGATAGTTACCGTAGCAAAAGTCTTCTGGCAGGTCTGTGGCAAAAGGAACTGGTATCATCCATAGATACATGCAAAGCACAATATGGAGTATAAATGGCAATGATCATACCTAATGTTGATCTGTACCTTGCACTAGCAAGGTTACTACAGGAATACAGCATGTATTTCTTGTGTCCCTGCTCAAGGAGCTCTAGCAATTCTTGTGTGCCTCCCTTAACCTTTCTCTGCCTAGAAGCAGGAAGAGCTGAATCTGTTGATGTTTTCAGAGGGGAGGTTAGGGCTTAACAGGCATGGGTGGATTGCTTCCTTATAGAAAGGATGGTGTACGCCAGCTTCTGGGAAGTTGTGTACCCTGTCTGCATGGATAGAGTTGGTCAGTGGATGGTAGTTTTGTCCCTTCTAAAACAGGAATCTGACTTCCATAAATCCTGATCTTTGTGTCCCTTCCAACTCGAGATATTCAGATTCCCCTATCACACAGGAAAATTACTGCCTGTCGTTGTGCACCTGTAAAACTTCAAACATTGGGCATTGTAATAACATTTTCTTTCAGGTTTTCAGCTGTCAGTGAATAGTGAGGCACCTCCAGAGAGCAATTCACCTTGCTTGAAAGCTGAATTGTCTTGCAGAATTACAGATATCTTAACTCTATCGCTCTTAACTGAATCGCTTGCAGTTTAAGTTCCTAAAATTAGTGGGATGAATCCAAGCCACTTCTGCAACTAAACCAAGTTAAACATTGACTGTAACTCGAAACGTGTGTGTGTGAGGCTGCGTTGGTGTGTTGTATCATCTCTGCCAGTTCTTCTATTAGATGTAATTTGCAAAACAAACAAAAATTAAGGTTGCGAGTCCAATGCTCAAAAAACCCAAAAGCCTGAATTCAGAATTTCCTGGCTGATGTTAATGTAAGACTCTTTTTCTCAACCATTTTTAAAATCTAATGCAATCTGTATTATGAAAACACCTATGAGGAAGGAAGACTATGTTTTCATAGGGTCTTGCCTGAAGTTGTATATTTTTGGTGTCTTGGGGTTGTGTGATGATAGAGAATTTATACAGGATACATCCTTATGAATTTCTAAAAGTTGGAAGGTATTAAGCATAAAGTAGGGGACTGCAGAAAGAAGAAAGATTGTGGTTAATACAAACACATATTTCTTCTAAGTCTTTTAGAGGAAAAAAACAATAAAAATGTGATTGTGCCAGGTGACATATGTCTCTGTATAGATACTGTATCAGCAAGGTTCCTCTGTTTAGTACTATACCAGTGTTCTCTGCTGCTCAAATTGACTGCTTGGCAGTGGAAGCAAGTGGGTTCCCACCAAAATGGGGTTTGTTGCTCTGGATCATTTCTCTTTACCAAAGTACAAAGGAATGCTGAACTGATACCGATTCCTGGTTCCTTAGGAAACTGAGTCTAGCAAATGCCAGTTCCATCTCCTTCTGCACCACTTTGTCCTTATTTCTGTCTCATTTTCCACATCCTGTTTCTGTCTTCATTAGCTACAAGAGTACCATGCTTCTTAACTTCTGCCATGTTGCATATCCATGTTTAAATTGTGCTGCTTAATCAAACTTGATATGGAAACAGCGGGGACATTGAGAGACCTGGAAAAGTTTCCTTTACTCTGTCCCTCAACACCTGGGAGATGTGGCTGCAGGAAAAGCTCTGCTCAGTTACTGCAGCCAGAGGCAGCAAACATGGTTACCCCTCTGGGTGGAAGAGCTGTGAGAGGCTGTGGCACGTTCACCATCACAGCACTTTCCTAAAGCTGCCAAATTCTAAACAGAACTTTTAATGTTGCAGTGCTGCCACATTTTTTGCCTTTCGTACAGAAATGGCAGGTGTATTCCTTGTATGACTGCGTTCTCTGCTAGACAGCATAGCCTTGCTCTAGCCTATGGAGCTGAAGTTCTCAATAATTAGTAGCTTTCACTTTTTTACTTTTGCAAAAATATCTTACTTTCTCAGAAAAAAACCCTCAGGAAAATACTAAATTTGTATCTCTAGCTGACTCTTAAGTTTAGTCTGAAGCAGGTATCCAGCATGGAAAGCTGCAGGTGTTTCAAGTTTGGCCAAGTTGTGTGCAGCTGAAAGCCTTTCCATGGAAAGAATCAGGCAGCTTTTGCTATGAATGTCACTGTCTGCTACTAAATTAGGCTCCTGTTTTTAGGAGTGGGCTTTAAAATCTGGTATAGCTTTTCAGAATAATTTCTGGTGGCTGTCTGTTAAAATTGGCAGAATCTTCTGTTGTGGCAAAGCAGCCTGTATGCAGCATTCATCTTTTTAAGAGCAGTCCTACTTTTAAGGAAAGTGTTTAGTAACACTAAGGATTTCTTCATAAAATGTGATGCTGCTCAATTTGTCAGCCATACAGGCCTGTTCTTGGCTAGTTATTTCAGGCAGTTCATATCTTTTCACACTGGCCATCAGAGATGAAAACCTTTGAGCTCTTTGTTAAAACAGAAACATCATTTGCTGGAATCTGGTGTGGATTCTAGTGTGGAATTCACACTGTATGGCCAGTGTGAAAAGATACGAGTCCAGCAAATGACGTTTCTGTTTTAACAAATAATCCTTGATAGGTATTTCTGCATCTTGTATTGAGAAGACTTGCTCTATTTGCCACCAACTCCTTAACTCATAAGGAGCGAGCAGGTGGGTGGTTAGGAGAACCTCTTTGCAGAGCTTCTGCTCACTATACAAGAGTTCTCTCTGGTACTATCCTTAAGCTAAAAATTAGGTGAATTTTAAGCATTCAAAGATAAATGTAGTACCTAGAAATTGCTAGGTATCAGGACAGAAAATCAGGACAGATTTTCCTCTGTACATTTTGACTACTGTAATTTGAACAGTCATATTGAATTATGACTTGAATAGCACTTATTTTAGGTGCTCAAATTCTTCGAAGGTTATTGAAGAACTGCCTCTTTTTAAACACCGTCTAGTACCGTAGGTAATATTTATCTATACTAAGAATCTTATCTGTGTGTGTTTTCCCTGTTAGCAAGCAGATCTGATCTCCCTGGGGAAAGTTGTATTGGCTTTGGCTTGCAATTCTTTATCAGGAATTCAGAGAGAGAATTTGCAGAAAGCAATGGAACTGGTGACAATCAACTATTCCTCTGATCTGAAGAATCTGATTTTGTAAGTTTGCTTACTAAATCTTTTAAAGGGAATTACTACTTTTTTTTAAACATACAAATGAAAATGCCAAATGATTTTTTTAGATGCAAGTAAGATTACAGATGTAATTACTGTCACTGAGTTGTCTGCACAGTCAATGCATCGTTAAACATAATTTAAAATTTGTTTGTATAATGTATGTTTTCATGGTGTATCTAATAAAATCAATGCCCTTTCTTTACTAAAGTGCTGTTAAAGCTCCTAATAAGAATTAGGAGCTTAAACAGAACAAGCATTTTAAATTGTCTTCAGTACTGGGCTTCATTGCCTATACCATAGCAATATGCTAGTATTATCTTACAGTTTCAGAAGGTGTTGAGAAATAGGCACATTGCCTTTTTGACCAAAGGGTTGAGTGCTAGTTTTTCTTGGCTGCATGTTATTTTATGTTGTTATTTAGTATAGTCGGCCTTTCTCCTCTTGCAGCCTAAGAGGGGAAAAGTAGAAATCTGTCCCCTCCCTCATTTGAAAAACAATTGCATGACAACCTGAATCTTCACGTCTTCTCTCTTTTTGAGTATGTTCTTGCTGTTTGAGTGGGTGAACTATGCAGTTCTGTGAAAGTACACTCCTATCTTTTATAAATAACTGACTAGATATATATGTGTAAGTTAACACACATTTTCTCTGTTAGTATATTTTTTTTTTTTAAGAAATGCTGCAATTGTAAACTTTCTGTATTAAATAGACATCAGGGTCAAATAGTTATAAAATCATAACAGAATGATCTCTCTGGCATTTGCAGCATGTTTAAGTAATCTTTTTTGGGGGTGGGGATATTTTGGCAGGTATTTGCTGACCGACCAAAACAGGCTTCGCAGTGTAAATGATATCATGCCTATGATTGGTGCGCGATTCTATACTCAGTTGGATGCTGCTCAAATGCGAAACGATGTTATAGAGGAAGACCTTGCAAAGGTAAATAATTTAGTAATTCCTACAGGAAGACCTATAGTCAGTATTCCTACAGGTGTCCCTTGAAAGGGTATGTTTTCTGCTGTTTTTTCCTTTTGTTTGTTTAGCAACCTAAGTAAGCTGCCTGTAGAATTGAGAACTCTGAACTCAAAGTATTGAAAGTCCGAAAGCTCCAAGAACCGCTAATTTTAGGCTGTCCTCAGCTGAGCTTTCACTAAAGTAACATCTTCATGTCCAACCAGCAGACTTGGGGAAAACATGTTCTTTATAGAATGGTTAAAAAACAGTATTCTGAGTAAATAAGGCCATGTATGTCATCACACACTAGATCATGTAGTTTGTGCTAGAGGTTATACAGCAACAAATGTTGCTTTTAAATTCTTGGATAGATTTGGATTCCAGTGTCCCTTTACTTATCTCAGATGTTTTCCTTTCCAAATGAATGCTAGGTCATGGAGGTAAAGGTTTCCCTGAATTATGCACCTCTTGCTGTGTGGGTCTGGTTGGTCTGTCAAGGTATCGAGTGCTAGCTATAGAAGAAATATGTACTTTGTCCCATGTGAGTGTGTATTTGTTCAACAGGAAAGGGTGTCTGCTCATCAGAAGCCACTGAGCACAGGATTTTCTAACAAGATTGAGATACATTACAGAAGGCTTTCATGATGCTGAAGATATGTGTGGGATAGGGTATTAAGTTTTTAAGGATTTAATCAAGTCTTGTGAATCGTTTCCGTTACATACCCTCATTGAGAATTTTTTTTAAGAGGCAGTAGACCAATGGTTGGGATTCTGATGGACTGGTTCTCTTAATTTCTCCACCACTGGCTTGTTGAATAACAGTTTTTCCCTCCCTAGTGAAAGATACTGAAATCTATCAGAAGCAAAGAGCTGTAGAAGAGCAAGGCCATTATCTACTTTGGATGCAGAGCTCTAGATGACAGGTGCCCACTCCATCAGAGTCAACCACTAGTCCTGCTCTGAAGATGTTTACGATCATTTCATGTCAAGGTGGCCTGATGTGCCTGTGCAAATTTGGGCAGGTGGACTTTTTCCTATAACAAAGATGGAGATTGTCCTGTAATCAGCATTAAAGCAGTCCACGTTTTCAGTCAGGTTGTTTGTAGCAGTTGCTTAGCACTGGCACGTGAGCAGAGCCACTACAAATCCAAGTTGTTGCATAGCCCCCGGTTTGGCAATAGCTGTTTACCTGGCAGTGATAAGTAGCAGTTGCTGCTTAGCTGCTGTACTGTAACTTGTTTGTACTACCACATCCTCAGTAACATCAGAGCTACTGTATCCCTTAAATCTAGCCTGGTACCCTCTCTTCATTATTGCCCCAAAGCAAATGCATAGGGGAGAGTATTAGAACAAGACTAGCATGTATGATATTTTTCCTTGTATTCTCCAAGCATGCAGTCATCTATAGCTGGAGGTGGTTTGTATGTAGTTAATAACTTTGTTTTCTTGAAGCCATGAATACTTTGTTACTCCCGTAACGCTCACATTTCACACAGCAGTGACCCCATTACTCTATCCCTTTCCTTCCTCACCTTAATATTCCCATCATCTCTATGTCACAGCATCCAAAGCCTCAGTTTTTCAAGTCCTCTAATCCACTATGTAGAAGAGCTCCCTGCCTTACAGGCTACCAAGCCTGCAGGGAGGCCACCTGGAGACTTAGTGCCAGTGTTGTTGCTCAGCTGTGTCACCATTGACTGGGAATCTGCAAAGCAGATGTGGTTTGGGCTTTTGTGTATTTGGCCACATACCAAAAAATTATTTGGAGGTTGCATAGACTTCTGCTAGCTGGACAAGGTAAGTCTTCCCTGTCAGTCTGTAAATGTAGCTACAGTTCTGGTACAAGCTGTTCTGCTGTGTGTTTTTTAGACTGGTAACAGAAGTCTTGCAACCCATAGGTTGTCTGAGGTCAGGCTTGTTATCACCTTGACCTACTTTATTTACCCAGCTCTGCACAGTAATCTACTCCGGACTGAATTTATTTGAAATCAATATGATCGTGCATGGAATGAGATGCAGCTTAGCATGAATAATGTTGGAGGGCTGGGCCATTGGAGAATATGAATAATATCAGGAGAGAATCTTTTTTTCCTGCCAGCTTTGAGCAGCTTTTACTTAAACAAAAGATTAATCCACAGTGTAATGCAAGCTAGGATGTAACTCTTTTTACTGTACCCTAATTGATGAGGAAAAATGTATGAAATAAATTTTTCAGTTGTGTGTATTTTAAGCATCTATAATTCTGATGATCTCTCTTTTGTGTGAGCTCGTTCTCATTGCCTTGTCTCTGTCATTGATGGGCTCAGAATTTATACTGTTTTAAGACTTAAAGTTTAGCTTTTTTTGGAAAAACTTGTTTCAAAATTATATTTGGAATCAATTGTAATTTGAATGTTAGTCTGATATTATTGTTGCTAAAGATTTACTAATAACGGCCTACAAAGCATTTCTGAAAAACAAATCTGGTAGATTGTGTTCCTTCTCATCTTTACCTGAAATAAGGTATTATATGATACACTTCTACAAGTCTTGATAACTGTGTATATATATTAACATATTCTTTTTTAACTTAATATATTTTAGCATACCTGTAAGTATAGGCTGGCAAGAGACTAGACTTATATTTCCATAAAGAGATAGATTGCCTGTTCCAGTTCCTGCTGGGGCAGCAAGGTGTCATTAGTTGTTAAATCTCCATATTATAATATGAATATGAAGTGTTAAAATCAGCATTGGCCTACCGATACACAATATATAATGCATTCGATCTCATTCTGAAAAAATTATACGCTGCTCTTAGAATAAATAAATGATTGCAATTAATAGTGCTTCGTTGGAATTACTACTGTATATATTTTGCGAATAAGTGTCTTAATTTTATGTTTCAGGAACTTTAATAACCTCTTTCTTGTTTTCTAGGAGGTGCAAAATGGAAGGTTGTTTAGACTTCTAGCAAAATTGGGAACAATAAATGAGAGACCAGAGTAAGAAATACTTGTTTTCATGGTGTAGAGTATTGAAAAGCCAGTTTGCAATGCAAGGTTTCTTCCCTCATGAATTTAAGCTAAACATTTTCCCCATATTTGCCCCTGAAGAAATGAGTATTTAAGAAGCCTTGAGGAAAAATAAGATAAGCAACTTTGACCAAAATTTTAAATAAAGGAGAAGACTACAAATAGATATGCCAAAGTTGCTTCATTTATTTAGTATGTTTTTTCTTAGCGGTCTCTTGTGAGTGACAATAGTTTTTGAGGAAATCCATAGCTTGCTTTAACTGTAGCAAATGGTGTAGATATTGGTTTTAAGCTAGTTAATTTTCAGCTTGTTTTTATCAACTACTACATAAAAATGTTCATGGTCCATTTTCCGTGCTATTGAATAGACTTGGAGTTGTGTTTGTAATGCTGGTTTCTAACATTTACACGTTAAACTTGTTGAAGATAACTCTTGCTTTCTTCCATTACTTTTCTGTGGGCCTTTGGTAGGCATTAGCTTTGGGTACTTCAGCTGAGAAACTTCGAATATGTTATCTTCTGTCTGTGGCAGAGGGGAGACTATAATTTAATTGAAAGTTATAATAGGTAGCTTAGCAGAGTGGTAAGATTACTCAGTTTAGATTGAAGAGTCATGTATATCTGTGGGTTTTGATTTTTCTTAACTTTGTGAGCTTTGATATGAGCCTTTGTTTTACAACAGGTTTCAGAAGGACCCAACGTGGTCAGAAACTGGAGACAGGTATTTACTAAAGCTCTTTCGAGATCACCTTTTCCATCAGGTGACAGAAGCGGGTACTCCTTGGATTGACCTCAGTCACATTATCTCATGTCTTAACAAGGTACACTGTACTTGGGTTAGCTTTTAAAAATTTGTTTGGGTTAACTTTCTTTAAAATAATATTCCACTTCAAAGCAAGTTGGCATTAGCAGGTTGATTCTGTTGATTTAACTGTTGGTTATTTTCCCCCTGTTGTGGATGAAAACAATGTATTCACTAAGCTAATATTCAAACATTTATGGATATTTTAAATAAACTTAGTACATTAATATTCAAACTTGGAATTCAGTAATATAGCATGAGATACAGTATTAACTTTTCATCCTAGAATGCATTGAATACTGTGGATAAGCAATGCTGGTCCCTTTATGCTACTCTGGTCTTTCAACACAGCATAAAGGATCCATAAAACCCCTTTAACTGGGGGAGGTTTCTGCTGATACAGTTACCAGAAGACGGTCATAAGGCAAGAGGATCCATTCCTAAACTGTGCTGACCAGAGTAGGAGACAGGAGGGAAACTGCAATAGAAATTTGTGCAAAATCCTTACCATCTAGGACAGTGCTGGAAAATTTCTGCAACTTACCAGGTTAAGTCCACTTCTGATTACTTCCCTAGCCTCTCCAGCCCTTCATTTTCCAAGGCTGATTTAACAAAGCCATTTGCAGTTTTCCAAGAGCTGCACCACTAGCAAAATTTTAGCTGAGCACTCTCATATGATTAATGAGCAAGAGATGTGTGAGAGACCACAAGATCTTCAGTAGCTGTAGAACTGGTCTTGCTCCATAAATTAAAAAAAGTACATGAGCTGATTATTTTTTTTTATTGGCAGATCAGCTTTCAACTTATTTTACATTGTTTTGCCGAACTTCAGTAATTCATAGGAAACTAAGATGCTGCTGCTACTTTTTTTTTTTTCTTGGTAGCTGCTTGGTCATTCCATTCACTCCGTAGAGAATGGTGGTGCAGACACTGACAACATACAGTTTCAGTGGCTAGTATTTTCTTTTCTAGGATTAGGACAGCCAACTTTCTCTTCCAGAAAAAATTGAATATATTCAGATCCTTTGACATGTAACAAGTGACTTAACTACAGTTAAATCTTCTTCTAAATTGTCAGGGCTTTTAATCTCCTATTAGACCACTGCTGTGCATTTCTTTAACCTCCTTTTTATCTTTCTGGTTGGTGTCTGTAATCACTTTAAAAAGGACATTAAAGGGATTGAGGCTAAATCAAAAAGAAAGCATGTTGATATTCAAATAGGCAGTGAAATGCCATCATGATTTGAAAGCAGTGACCCGTACAGTACTGTAGCAAGAGGGGACAGTCCTGAATTCGTAGGTCAGGTAAGAGATGGTGTCAAAGAATGCCTTGTTCTATAAATGTTCATGGCTTACCTTTTTAAACTGAGGCTCTTCTCTTCTGTGGTTGTGGGCTCAGCACACAAAAAATGTAAGGCTTACAGAACTCTACTTTGGAAATACACTCTAAAAAACACTTCTGAAACTGTAGTGTGCACTAATAGAAGTGGTTATTTGGGCTTTCCTGCTACACTCCAAAAGCATTCCTTTTGAATGAAAATTACTCTATTGTTTAAAAAAAAAAACACCTTTTTTTTTTTTTTCAATGTGGCGTTTTTGGATTTTTTTTTTTTTTCAGCTGAGATACTGATTTATGCCTCCACAGGAGGAGAGAAAGAAAGCCATAAATACTGATGTTTCTAGTTAGCCGTGTGGCTTTCTTAATACAGATCTTCCATGTCCTATATTCATTAAGGAAATTCACTGATTTCTTGTATGATGGTAATGGGAACAGTAGACAATATTTCACAAACACCTTAATTGTAATGGATGTTGGAAGAGACTGGTGGTTTTATCCTATTCTACAGGAATTAAAAGCTAATTGGCTGGCTTTTGTCCTTCTGAAGCTATTCATAAAGCAGGAACCTTAAATTTGGGGGGTTCCAGCTTTTAAGGTTATGCTCAGAACATGATTTTAGAAGACAAATGCAAGAAATTTCTAATTTACTGTATTGCTCCAGACAGCAGGTAGTGGAAGATCTCAGTGACAAATTTAATCGTTCTTCTGCTGTTCAGTACAACATTATAGTACATTTATTTAATCCTTCTGGGGTTGTATTTCCAAAGATTGTCTCAATAGTGTCATATCCCACTTGTCTCTGCCCCACCTTCTGTATCAGAACAAGAAAGTTTGTAGTGTCAAGTATTTGGAAATATCAGTGTATCGACTAAAACAGAGCTACAAAAGTTTTGCATTATAAGGGAGTCTGTCAATTCTCCATTGATGAACATTTCTTGCGAAGTGAGGAAAACATAAGATATAGTGTTGGAAGGGACTTCAGCATGTAAAGTAGGATATTCCTCTGTTCCAAATTAGGATTTAGTGGTACATATCTAAAGTATGTAGTGTAACATATAGTTTTTTAATATTGAATTTGAGAAGTCAGAACAAAATATGAAAACAAACGTGGAACAGCTTTTAATCTTTAATCCCAAATTATCTATTTGTTTATGGATTATAACTAGGTAATCTTTTGGGGTTGTTTTTTTGTATGTGGGTGTTCTGTTGTTTTTTTGGGCTTGTGTTTGTTTTTTGTTTTGTTTTGGATTTTTTTTTTGTTAGAGTAGGGGATGAAATGTACCATACAGCTTAGGAACTAGTTTGTTTGTAGTACTGCCAAAAATGTGAGGTTTGGGTTTCTACAGGTTTTCAGACTACCTGGGGCTGGTCCATCCGTTATTTCATTTTAGAGTGCGCAAGAAGTAATTTACCTACCCTACATGGAGGCTTGTGGATCTTATGTGCAAATGTAATGTCAAACGTGGTTTTGTTCATCAGGAGCTATATGGAAATTTTGCTAGGCTTTCTACACAGGGGAAGATAGCATTGCAGGATTATTAGCTTTATGGAAAGGGAAGAAAACAATGCTAACCTAGTCCAAAGGTCTGGAATGTCCATCAGGTTAAGACCAAAATGTCTCGATTTTTTGGCAAGTACGTTGTTGTGGTGCAGTTCGGATCCTTCCGTTCTGTGATGTTAGCAGATTTGAACAGCACCACAACAACGTACTTGCCAAGAAATTGATTGCTTTTGTTATTGGGGAAATGTTTTGCCATTTCTTTCACACTTCTTTTATTTTATCTTTTGCATTCTTGTTACAGTTAGATGCTGGTGTGCCAGAAAAAATAAGCCTCATTTCCAGAGATGAGAAGAGTGTACTTGTGGTAACTTACAGCGATTTAAAACGCTGCTTTGAAAATACTTTTCAAGAACTGATTGCAGCCGCAAATGGTCAGTTGTAGTATTTGCTGAAAGCATGCAGGACATTGCTGAGGAACTTAACCAATAGCAAATTGCACTACAGCTGAATTGTTGTTGTCATCTCATTTCACATTTGGGAAACAAACAGGAGATGAGCAAAGCTGCTTGCACTTCAGTCAGGTACACTGTTACTTGAAGGGAAGAATGTTTCACTTATCCTAGAGCTAAGGCTGCCATTGGAGGCTTTATCTGTGAAGAATTTATTTTAGATTAAGGAACACATCAGGTGCATGATGTTCCTGCTTTTATTTTTTCCACTTGTATATGCACTAATTTTAATTTTTTTAAGACTTTTCTGATCTCTGAAGTTTTGCCACATTGTATACTTAAGGGAAACTCTTTGCAAGGACATTTCTGGGATACATTTTTGTCACTGAGGATATAGCAAAATTTATTCATTTTTGATATTATTTGCACCCAGAATAGCATAAAGGACCAGGTAAATAATTTAATAGAAATTGTGTTCTATTAATGACCGTTTAGTTCGTAACCTCTGTAAAAGTGTGTTGTATGCAAGCTCTGTATGCCACCCACTGTTAGCTCAAAGAAATGTGAGAAGACGAAACTTTTTAAAACCAGTCACGTGAAGTATCGGTGAATTGACAAAAAAGGAAAGAAAGTCCCTGTCATTTGATTTAAACTTTGTCTAAGCAAAGTGACGAAAATAGCATAATGGGAAACATCTATAATTTAAGGAGCATATCAAACTTGCTCTAAACACAACCAGCGCCTTTTAAAAACTGTTTGTACGTTTTCCTGCTAGTCAGAAGCATTTACATTTATGCAATTTTTTTAATAGATTTTTTTTTTTAAAGAAATTGTTTAAATGCCTGAAGTTTCAGGATTGTATTACTTTAGGTTATTTACAGTATAATTTTTGTATAAAGTTCTGTTCTTTGAACCACAGCTTTATTATGGTACGCTACACTGGATACAGATACAGAGACACTGTTAAAAGAAGATTAACTAAACACAGCAGTTGTCTGGCATCAAGAGCTTTTCAAGTTTTACAGCCTGAATCTGGAGGGAAAATGATCTGCTGTGCCTTTGCAGTCACTGCTTAGCCCAAAGTAATATTACTTTTGATAATACTCAACACATGAATATTCTTGAAGTAATTCAGTCTCAAAAGTCTGGAATTTTCCTCCTCAATTACCTTTCTAATATTTGGACATGCAGTTGTCTCCAAACTTGGGTATTCATGGGATTTCTAGTTAAACACCTACACTTTGATACTGAAGACTGCCAAATATGTAGGAATTTCCGTTCTTAAAGCAGTAGTGAAGACTGTATCTATCCTTTCCCAGCACTGAATGTTTTAATAGCACTGGGTGCTCACCATGAAGAAAATGTGGAAACTCAAAAGGTCAGGACAGACTCTAAGCACTTGCAACTGATGTTACTGACATCAATTTTAATAATTCTCAATATTTGTAGTTTTCAGAGAAGTTTTTAATATTTCTCTGTCCACTTTTATAAGCTTTAAAATGATTCTCCGCCTTGAGACTTGCATCAAGAAAAAAGCAACTCTCTTCACATCGAAAGCTTTGAAGACTAGGGACATGCTTTACACATTTTAGAAAATGTGGTTGAATCCACATTAGGTAGCATCAGTTGTTGAGTTTAAAAATCGATTATTGTTGCATTTGATCGAATGAATTTTAAAAGGAACATAATGTTTAATATTCAAACAGTTGCCAGAATGTTCTTTTTAATATAAAAGGAACAGGAACTTTGAAAAGTGAACATGCAAAACAGTCTTTTATCATCAGCTCATGTATTTGAGGAAGAGCAGCTGTCTTTTATATGTTTTTTGACAAATCATATTGTAATTCTTTTGTACAAAAAAGAAGTACTTGTATTCTAGAAGAAATATGAAATGCTTAATTTATAAGCGGGCTGAGGTTTTTTCCAGTATTGTTTTCTTTGAAAATGAAAGGGGATCATCTGTTCAGTTGTGGGGTTTGGGAACCTTTGAAAATTTAATTTGTGGACCAATATTTTGTGAAAGTGTAAGGCAGGGGTAAAATAGGGCTTGAATTCTCATCCTTTTTAGACCAGCAAACCACCCTCTGCAAGACATGTCTAAATTGCAAACCTGTGTGTATCTGCATAATGTCAGTTTGCTTCAGCCCCTAGTAACCTCAGGACTTGGTTTAAAAATAAAAAGGTAGACAGCTAATAAGTTTTCATACATAATGTCAGCCAGAAAATATTTGGTGTCAGGTAATACATAAAATAAAAAAAAAAGTTGAGCTTTGTTTTCTATTTATTTCATTTTGGTCTGTATTTGGGAATGATTTAAACAGTCTGAAGTTCAGCTTGGGTGTTTTTTTGGGGGAGAGCCCTTCTACCCCATTTTAATTCCATTTAGAAGGTTGTCCTAAAGATCTAGTTTGATCCATTCATAGGAAGAACTGTGTATCTGTATTTAAAAAGAAGAGCCACCAGGATGTGCCATCCCAGATGGGAAATTTAATTCTGACCTTCCTATTTTTTACAGCTAAAAGCACAGAAGGGACAACCTTTGAAATCACCTGATGTTGGTCATTTTAATTTTTGTACCTGTTTTAAATTCTGTTGCTGTATTTACTATATTGTAAATATTTTGTTGAGGATACCTCTGTATTTTTGATTTGCCCTTGTTTCAGTAATTCAGGTGTCAACTGCTTCCCCTAAAAAGCACCAGTATGTTAAGTTCCAACGTCATGATCCCAATATGTGTTACTCATCTTTAATCCTGTTTTCATTCTTCATGTGTACAGCAGTATTTTTAATAAAGAATACCAGAAGTAACGTGGCCTTATTTTGACAATGCGAAGTTCTGAAGTTGGATACGGGGCTTTTCAAGTTTGGTGCTGGAATTGTATTTCGTTCTATCATATTTCTTTTGTATTCACTCTGTCTGCAATGCAGAGTTTAAACAGTAATGAGTCACAAAGTGCGTTTAGTGCTTGCCACTTAGAGTATACCAGATATCCTAAAACTTACAGATGCTGTTGACTAGAATCTTACTAATACACGTTTCCTAAACTCCCAAGTCAAGTCCCGTCTGCTTTACTACACAAGCCCTAATTTTGAAAACTCTGCTGAAGTACCCTTACTTTCATGTTTATTGAGCTTTTTTTGCCCAATAACAAAATATATTAATTTGAGAATTTGCATGTGGAGTCACCGACAGCTTCATTTCCCAGAACTATTTTTCTGTATTGTTAACCAGCAAAGGTGAGATGATTTACTGGTGGGGTAAAGTCTCCTATACCCATCCAGTCCCGACTGTGTTTATGTAATGTGAAATTTTGTGCAATATATGTGAAATTGTCAGTACTCCCTGCATACATTTAACATGGAGTCATTATCCCTTAAATTGCAGTGTTTTAGAAATTTTATTATATAAGCTGCAGTAGGCTTGATTGATGCACTTATCTAGGCTCCAGTTTCCTTCTGAGTAATGTGCAGCAACAGCAACACAACTCCTGTGGCCGTAGGCGATCCCGTTACGTTCTGCCTCCTCAGGGAAAGCTTCATCTCTGCTTCCTTCCGGCTCTAGTGTGTAGTTTATCTGCAGTGTGGCTTGGAGATCCCATCAGATTATGAAATGCTGTATAGCAGAGAGCACTCAGCTGAACATCTCTGGAGGTAGCATCCCCAGCTTCTGATGGATGGGATGGCGATGTTGAGATTCTCTGAAGAGAAAGCATCTACCAGGCCTAAGGTGCTAACTCGTGTCCTTTTGTCTGTACCAGATCTTCTAGCTGCAGCAGTAACCGGGCATGGGGGGCAGTTGAATGGATATTCGTCAATGGGCGGAGTTAAGTTTTTTTGCCTCTAGACAGCAGTAAACATTTCTTAGATATGCTGAATCTAGGGATTTCACTCACACATGGAGCGGTACAAGTGTCGACCACTATATCCACTCTGTTGTGTGAGAAGTGGGCCTCCTGTGCAATTATTCCTTATTCTTTGCTCACAGAACTGGCCCATGGGATGGATTGTTTGCCAGATGTGTTAGTGCTGCCCAGTGCTGAATCATCTGCTGCAGCAGTCTCTGACACTGGATTAACTAGTTTGGCAGAACTCTGGATTCTTTCAAAAGCAAACTTTATTATATGGATTTAGCAGTCAAATACATTATATGAAGACAGAAAATGCAAGACAAAAGAGTTATTCACATCTGAAGAAACTTAGGGGGTTCATATAAAAGTAATCTTTGTAGTCCAGTTTTCTTAAATATTTATGCACAAAAAGCATATTTATATATTTACACTGTGCAAACATTTCCTTTTGAGATGCATCATCCCATAACTATTTTTGCTCAATTGGAGTTAAGAAATGGTTCTTAATTTCGTTTTGTTTTTATCAAGATCAAATATACTTTACCAGCAAGAGACAGTGCAATAGATACTTAAAACTGATGATCTCTTGGCCAGGAAGATCTAGAATTGATACTTAGCTTAGAAGTAGCGGTCCATATTTCTTTTACTTGAATATCGAAGAACATTTTTCCTTGTAAGTATGCAAGAGGTCATTTGCCTTTAAGTCTGTTAGTGGGTTAAAGTCACAGCTCCTAAGCTGTGTTTTAAGAGGTCAGAATCTTATTATATGTAGCATTTTAGTTAATATCTATTTATAGTGGACCATGAGAAGCTGAGATTGGGCAGTAGCTGTTGATTTGGAAGATGTCAGCACTACTGTGTTAAATGGCCAACTCATTTTAATATTGCATTCAGAGGTGAAAGGGGATGGTGCATCCTTATGCTTCTTGAACAAAGAACATTCATGCCCTTTCTGAGATGCTATACAAAAGTCTGTTGCAAATGAATGATACATTTTTATTCCTGTACATATATACTGGTAACTAACCTGGAAATTCGCCTGTCTTCATAGAAAAGCTGCCCTAACTTTCCAAGGAGATTGTCTTGTCATTTCTAACTAATCTCTTCAGACTCTCTAGTGATCAATTCATTTAAAGTATATGCAGTTTAGTAGCCATCCTGTCTTTTGAGACAGATTCCCATAAATAAAATATAATCAGTGCGGTGTTAGAAGGTCCATGAGGTTTCGTGGACAGAGCTTGGTTTTAATGTATCTAGCTTGTGGTTTGGTTCCAGTGTGTGTGTGTTGGCATACTGACAAAGTGCAAAACTTCAAGAATATTTACTTGATTTCAGCAGGCTTGTCCAAACCAAATTGTTCTGTATTCCCTGTTGTTGCAGCCCTGGCTCTGATCTTAGTTCTCCTCTATCTTTGCCAATTGTGTTTTGCAACACAAATTTGAAATTCTTGCCTCGCAAGGCTCCTTACCGCGTTCGCCATCTGAAGCAGTAAGAGCCGTATAACGCCCCATCCCCAGCTAGCTAATTCAGCTTCCCCAGAGCATTAGCCTTTCCTCAAGTTTTTCAGATTTGATTTTTCACTAAAAACCGTAGAACGTGGTCAGTTTCTTGTTTCTCTTGTCCTGAAGAATCCTTTATTTTCCAGCGCTATGCAGACCTCAGCAATAGGGCGCACGTTGCCCAGCGCCTGACGCGGGCTCCCAAGGGCTCCCAGCTGCCTCTCCCGACCAGGACCCCGGTGCTGCGCCCGAGGCCGAGCAGAGGCTGTATGACTAGAGCATGAAATACCATCCTGCTGCCAGGGACCAAACAGCAAATTGGTTTTCTCTGTAATGATGACCATCCAGGTTTTCAGAAGCACTAGGCAAGTTTAGTGGCAGCTGTTGGTGTTCAGTATTCGGGAAAGTCAAGGCCTAAGCATTAGTATTTCGCTATATTTTGTATATGCTTGCTGCAGTCTGTAGAAAAATAGATCACTGAGATTAAGCCAATGATATCTTTTTAAATTTTAGGATAATTAAAATTATTTGGGTCAAAGTTTTTAAACTGACAGTGTTTCAGAAGAACCTTTTTGGATTAAATGCATGTTTAAATCTTGGCCTAGAAGTACTAAACGGGTGGCTGAGAATAAAGGATGACGGAGTTGTAGTCAGGAGGGGGAGAATGGCACGCTTTCATTTTCTCCAGCACGGCGTTACCATACGTATATCTTCGCTTGGAGTCACTGAGATGGTCACAGCTGAAACTGCAGAAGCTTCTTGGCTTGGTTATTCCAGAAAGCACCGACTCCTTGCTCCTGCTGGCACCTTTCACTCTGTAACAGAGCAGCATCACTGTTAGCATATTTAACATGTATGGGCGTTTGTTTTAATGACTTGAGCAAAGCCACATCACAAGAAGCAGCTTTGTTTATTCTCAGATGATGGGAACAGCATTGATACAGATGGGATTGCTCAACAGGAGAGTGGAACAGAGGACTGAAAGAGCCCTCCTGTGTCCCCCTCGAGTCCCCTTCTGAACAGAGATGCTGAGACTGAATGTCACTGTTAAGGTGCCTGTGTTCGTTGTAAGTATTAGAGCCTTGGTGCTTGTGGGCTGTACTTGATTGCTCAGCCTAAGCTCTAATTGCTCATTTGTGGCAGGTGATAGAGAGTGACACTTCATTGCAGGGCAAAGTAGTGTGGAGTGTCTGGCATCTGTGCTGCTGCTGGGCTGTGCATCCCCATAGGGTCGTCACACTTAAATGTTCTTCCTAAGGGAACTGGGGTTTTTTTGAGAAGGAGTGAAGTAATGAAAGGTCTCAAGCCTTGGGGCAAAAGCAGAAAGTTAGTGTAGGTGTTCCCAGAGCCTAATGCTGGGGTGAATTTTTAAGATAAATGGCTGATGTTTGTGAGGAAGGGCACAGGGTCTGGGTATCTCCCCTCTCAGGCTTCTCTTGGCAGCAGACATGAACTGCTGGTTTGAATTAGAGGTTTCCTGCCCCACAAAGGACCAGTTATCCTGTGGGCTGCCTTTTATAAGATGCCCTTTACAAGAGGGGTTTAATGTCTTCTCAGCTGAGCTACTCTTAAAGACACTGTTTGCCTTGCGGCACTTTCTCACCCATATTCAGAGAGCGCAGTGCTTAAAAGGGCCCTTTCAATAATTAAGAAAGTTAAGGCAAAAAGAATTTTCACACTGTTGAACTTCAATACCAAAGATTTATCTGTAGACAAAGGACAAGCCAGAGCATTTTTTGTCACTGACTACATGTGAAATCCTAATGTAAACATACATTGGACCGCAATGCCTAAAAATAGTTTCCCTCCCTGTATTTTTCTAAGTTCATGGACACTCCACTCCTCTCCATTTATAAGGTCAGGAACGTTGGCAGCCGTAGTCTTGAATTCCAGAGAAGACAGTCAGAACATCTGTTGAGGCTTTTGGAGCCCAGGGTTTTGCTTTTCATTTTAATTTGCACTGTTAGATCTTTCAGTAAAGTACAGAACTGGTAGCACAAGGCCTTTCCTGATTAGGAAATGGAGAAGTAACAGTTTCTCTTAGATGTCACAGTTTCTTGAATCTTTCACTCGCAAGCCTGTGTGCTTTTTAAGGAGTGTGGTCTGTCTTCTGTCCTACTGTAGGAAATTGGAGGGCCCTCCCCAGAAGACCACCCCATTACATTTGTTTGTAGATGGATGGAGTTCACAAGGAGCAGCCTTCATGATGAGGACTGCAGATGCATCCCATATTTTTATATTGCATCTGTTGGCAGAGGGAGAATTAATTGCCTTGGGATAAATTCCATAACTATGTGACAAGGTTCGTCACTGACTCAATGGATTTTTTGTAGTGGGTTTAAAGACTAACACTTCTGTGATTTACATTGTAATTCTAAGTCTTAGGGAGCAGTGGGCAAAAGTGGAGTGTATGTGCGAAGTTATGAGCCTTAAAATCATCATGCTTTGATCTTTTCA